TAACTTGAAGTTTAAGAACCAAGAAGAATTTGCTGATTTTCTTTTAAATCAAATAGAAACTAAGGAAAGAAATTCAGTTTAGAACAATATAAAAAAATCCGAGAAAATATGATGAATTTATTAAAAAAGATCGTAAATTCAAACAATTATTAGATAAGAAAGTTGGTGTGAGTACTGTTAATGAATTTGTAAATGCCAGAAGTAAAGAAATCAAAGCCATTAAAGTGGATAAAGCAATTAGTAATGTGGTGATTTCATTAACGTCTATTTATAAATCAAAATCTGAACCTCTAATAGATTATTTGATTGCAGTTAAGGATAGATATGAATTTGAATATGATTAGAAATGATCAATTTTTCTTGTAAATAAATAATTTTTCTCTTAAGATGTTTGTATGAATTATAAAAACTTTAAACTCTAACAAAAAATTTTATTATTTAAGTTTAAACTTTACTAGTTGACTTTTACTAGTTGAGCTCAACTTTTGCAAGTTGAGCCCAACTTCATTAGTTGAGCTCAACTTTTATGAGTTGAGCCTAACTTTTATTAGTCGAGCTCAACTTTTATTAGTTGAGCTTAACTTTTACGATTTGAGCCCAACTTTTATTAGTCAAGCTTAACTTTTACAAGTTGAACCCAACTTTATTAGTTGAGCTCAACTTTTACAAGTTGAGTTCAACTTTTACGAGTTGAACCTAACTTTTATTAGTTGAGCTCAACTTTTATGAGTTGAGTCCAACTTTTATTAGTAGAGCTCAACTTTTACAATCTTTTACTTGTATAGTATCATCGTATAGTATCTAATATATTGGCACTGAAGGTACACTCTTGAATTTTAATATAGATTATTTTTGGAATTTAATTTGGGATTGTCTTTATATGAATTTATTTCTAATACCATTAAAAGCTATAACGATAACGATAATAAATTTTTTTAAAATAATAATTTATTTGTTAATTGTTGATCTCCAATATAATATTAACTTGATGTTCATCTTAACACTATCATACCATCATAACACATTTTATGCCTGGTGTCAGGAATGTGATTCCAAAACAGCTGTTCAAGAAGGATTGTTAAGTGGATATATAGGTGTTGATAATTTATTGTTCAATTTAATAGAGAAAACATTCTAAATCTCGCCAAAGTAAATGAAAAATATCAATTCTCCTAATATATAGAAACTAGAATTGAAATCACAAAATCTGAATACCTGATGTAAATTGTCCAGATTTTGGGTTTTCAATTCTTTTCTATTGTATTTAACAATTGGATAATCATTGATAACGTGTATTTTGGTCACTCTAACATAATAAAAACATTTCAAATTATTAATTATATTACCTCGCAGATAATCGATTATTAATAAATTTATGATATTAATCAAGTTTAAATATCGATATTGTTCAAAACATTATTCAATATAGTGTATGCAGTAAACAAATGTTTTGATCTTTTTTTTGATATTTTGATTTTTAGGATGAGATTTTTAACGTATTGTAGTTTATTTTTACAGTTTATTTATATTAGCTAATAGTTTATGGATCATATCTCTAATTGTAGTGTGAATAAGATTTACAACAATATTATAAATTTTTATTTCACTAAGTAGTCTGATCACTTTTAATTTAACAATACAATTTATACATGGCCAATTGGTTTAACTAGTTTGGATAATGAATTTAACCAAATTAACATCCCTCTCTTTAGTTATTTCATACATGATAAAATTATATAAATTACCATTCAAAATCTAATTATATGTCAAGAATGTCTAATTTGCCAATTTTCAAAAAGGACTCTTTTAAAGAGTTTTTTACAAAAATTTCCCACTTAGATACCGATGTATCTAACGACCTCCAGTTTTCTGTGTTTATTTTCAAAAGCCATCCTACTACCGGTAGTTATAATTTTACATGCGGTTTTTAAATTACAAGACCAGTTTTGATGGTCATAATTACATGTATAATTTCTTATCTGATATTAATCTTGGGAGTGGTCTTGAATTAGAATATATGATTATTGGTATTATAATGGTAATCCTAGAAGTAAGAAATATTTATTAGAAGATATAGCACCCAATTTCAGTGTGGAATTCAGAGACGTATATGAAAATAAATTTTTCATCGAACCTAACATTTTTCTATCCTTATTGAAATTTAAGAAGGGTGTTGTATACATAAAATGGGAAGAATTTGTTAAAGATGACAAAATATTTATTAAATTTAAAAGTTTATATATACCTCCTGATATTTTGAAATTATTTATTATTATACATTACTATGAAGATTTAGTAATACTATATGAGTAATTTTTGGCCCAGTTATTTGATGCATTTTTTCTTCATGCAAATAATTTTTTTTAAAAAAAAATCATCTCTTAATTTCTTTACTTGATATAAAAAAATTTTTTAAATCTTAATAATACTGAATAGTAGTGTTGGTAATTGTCACATCCATTTATTGTTTATTTATTATATTATTTATAACATTAGTATTGTAAAATAATTTTTTTTATATGTTGCACACTGGGTGAAAAATCAGTCTAGGTTTCCTCCTGTTGATGGATTTAAAGTAACCCGTGATATCTCTACAATTGAAACAAACAATATTAACTGGACCTGTTTTAATAAATATATAAATGACAGAGGTTATTGCCACAAAATTTTAGAGTGCAGTTTATGCAAAACCACATAATCTGAACACTATACAAAAATGAATTCAAGTTTTTTAATACCAGAAATTTGGGTTGAAATTTTCCAATACATAGCTTCTCTTAAATTTTATTTTTTACATAATCTCCTTTTAGTTAATTGCTTATTTTGCTCCTGGGTTGTGCCCTTGCTTTGGGCTGATTCATTAGAAAAAGCACGTTCTAACGACGACCGCTATAAAATCATTGATATTTATCTTTCATGTTTGAATAAAGAAGAGCAAATAAGTTTTTTAAATTGCTAAAAGAAATTTGCAAATTTGTAAAAAATATAAAAAGAAAAAACCACTTCATTTTCCTATATCGCTTTTTTGCAATGATATAATTTTTATGAAATACTACAAGTTGGTGTTTTTATGTGGTGTCTAAAAAATAATATATTGTCATTGAAACCCAAAGTCTTTTTAATCATTCATAAAATGATTGTTCGAGTCTGCCGCTATATTAAAGAATTAAATATTTCAGAAAATACCTTCGATACTGAATGTTTTGTAAATTTACCCAGTCTTTGGTTTCCTCAATCAACCATAACTAGTTTGGATATTTCATTTTGCTTCTTCCCTTATGAATTAAATGAAAGTATCAGTCAGTTCATCAGATAAGCATTCCAAGAACTCAAAAAAATTCGTGTTATAAAAGTGTCTTTTGAAAAGGGAATTAATGAGGATAGTAAAAAGCAATGCAAGAATTAATTAACACTCAACCTGAATTAGAAGAATTTCAATTGAATTATTCTACGATGCCAAAAGAAGAAAATTTATCAAAAGTATTTATTATATTGCCAACAGGACACAAAAACTTATATAGATTAAGTTTAGATGCCATTATTTTCACTAAAAATGATTTAAGAAATATAGCAAATTTGCCTAATTTAAAAATTTTAAAAATTGAAAACTTCTCTTTTGAAGCAAAATATAAAGAAATCATTAGCACTTGCTCGCTAATGAAATTGCAAGAACTAAAATTGAAGAATAATGAACTAGAGATAACCAAGTTTTTAGTTAGCATGAAATGTGAAACTCTGAAAATTCTTAGTATTACTTTAACTAATTTGCAGATTGAAAAAAATGATGTTAGCAACGAGTTTTGTAGTTTAATTAATCGTAATTTTTCTAACCTACAGAGGGGTGCAAAAAAATTTCCACATCTAAGGACTTGATTTATATCTCAAAAACTTAGTAATTAATTTATGTCTTTAATTTGTTTATATAAATCATTATTCCTTAATAATGATATCATATTATTTTTATACTTGCATAATTAGCAAGTTATTTAACTTTACTTCAATCGAATCAGATTGCATTACGTAGTATATTATTGTATCAGTAATATCGGTTGATTTAAATTTTTGCAAGATTAAACAAATATGATATTATTTTTTATGTTGAAATTTGCTAATTGGTAATTACCACATGTTTTTTAATAATAATTCATTTATTATTGGTCTATTCCAAGGAATAGAGCAAAAAAAATACAAAAAATAAAAACAAAAATTAAGTAATTGCTACAAACAATTATCATTAAATTGTGTATACATTCTTGCAATATTACTAATTCTAATATATTTTCCTCTTTAATTTTATGGAATTCAGAGAATTCTGGATTTCTCAATAATTCTTTAATTAGGAAGTTATATTTGCTTTCACTTGCACCAAGAAAATAATTTGCATTTAGCTGAACTTCGATCATATTATTTGGCATAATATTTGTTACCTACTTTTTCAAAATAGACGTGAATTAATATTGCCAAATTTTTTATTAATCCAAGCCTTTATCTGTGGTTTTCTCCAATGCAATTGCATTGCCCAAGTAAAGAAAACTAAGTAGCATTGCACAACTTAGCAATGAACAATAACATTATGCAAAGATTTAAATAACTGCTATAAACAAACTATCGTAGGATGGCTAAGTATAAGCTATTAACATTAAATAAGTTTAAAAATTTTTAATTTTTATAATTTTTAATTACAACCATTTATTTTCTTAGCTCTAACCTTTAATCAAAGATTTATCAGAGAATATATGGATATTCTTATGGATATTAATTTGTGATATAATGCTGAATATACCTAACGCTACTGCTATTCCTAAATAGACAATAGAAGCCTATCACTATAGAGATCCTTTTTAAATACAGTAGACCTAAAAAAATCAATGATAACGACATATTACGAAAACACGTGATAATAATTTTTTCTATACAAATGATCATTGTGTAACCAATACATGATTATCATAAAAGGGAAAAATCGAAGAATGTTATCAAAAAAAAATCAAAATATGAATAAATTCACGAATAGGAGAGAGAATCTATTTTCCACTCTGATTAGGCAAAAACCTTCATTAACTAGCCCATTATCATTAGATTCTTACAACTCACACTCTTCGTTCAATTTAAGCACTCTTTCTAAGACAATGCCAGGATTGAATTCGAATGAAATGGATTATGTTTTATATTTTACGAAATTTTATACTGAGCAGAAGCTAATAAAATTTCTAAAAAGAAAAAAAATACAAACAAGCCCAACAAGATAATTCTTGGAAAGATAAATATGAAACTTACGAAAGATATATAAACCTAATTTTTGATAAGCAACTACAAAAAAAGGTTTATAAAGCTTACTTGATAATTTTAAATAACTGATATTCAAATTAACGGAGATCCAATACAATAATGATTCATAATGATGCTCTTAACATTCTTAAAGAAATGTTTAAAAAATATTTGACACGTGGATTGATTTTTGAATTTTTTGCCAGTATCAAGTTAGTTACCAGAAGCTATTGAAATTGAAGATGAAGAAAATATCTGGGAAAAATTTTCTAACAATGAAGAAAATTATAATTATTCAAGGGTATTATACTTTCTTTGTGAATTAGCACTTATATCATTTAAGGCAACAAAAAGAATAAAGGGGCTAAAAAAATTTAATCAATTCTTTGTGCCCAGCCATATTACCAGCCAGATTCTCATAAGCTCTTAGTATGAAAATATAACTACATTCATACCTGTCGAACTTGACAAATCTAGACACCAGAACAGTAAGTTACTTATGATCTTAGTATAAAAAAATTTATATCTGCCAGATTCTCATAAATTCAAGCGCCAGAACCATAAGCTCTTAGTATGAAAATATAACTACATTCATACCCACCGAACCTG